CTCAGACCTTTCTGACCCTTCCCAAAAATGGTTGGGCCAGAACCCGTCCCACACATCTACTGACGTCTGCTTCGATGAATCGCCATGTGAAATCTCTGCGGAGACCGAGATCTGGCGAGATGGACACGTAGTCGTACGTGTCGATGGGGGTGCCATTGGCCGCGAAGAGTTTATAGCCACTGGTCTCCCTTTTGCTTGGTGGCCGCCTGCAAGGCGTAACAGAGACGTCTGAGCCTGTGTCCACTAGGTATTGGGTCCCAGTCGTCCTGTCGGTAATAAATAGGCGGCGGGATTATGATTGAGACACGACTTCCGCCATTATTGTCTCTCTCTCTGGCGTTTCCCTGAAATTAACAACCGGGTAGGCAGTTACGGGCGTTATTACCATGCTTGTAGTGATACCAGCAGATGTCAAAATTCTTTGATACTTTCCTCGAGCTGGGGGGTAGGCGCGAGTGGCTGCGCTGACCCTGTGAGCCGTCTGGACGTGTTCGTGAACGAGACCGTGGGTCGCGCGTTTGCATGGCGGCAACGGCCGCCGTCAGCTGCTTAATTTGCTCGAGGAGCGCCGTGTTGACTGCGTTGGCTGGCGAGCTGGTAATTGCTGCGACGATGTTCGGGTTGAATACCTCGTGCACCCTGTCTGCTAGCTTCGCGAGATCATCAATGGAAGCGTTCTCCTGGGTGGCGAGTGTAGCTCCCGTCTGCTCGGGGAGATGAGACAACCAGCGCGTTTTCAGGACCTCGTCGTCAATGCCTGGAACAAGACTTTTTAAATGTCTCAGGTGCTTCGACGGAGTTCGATCCCCAATGCTCTCCCTGTCAAGCAATTGGATGATGTTCGCAGTCCTGGATTTTGTGAAACATCTGATTAGTTCGTTTTTTAATGTTTGGTATGGATTTGTTACAGGTCTGGAAACAATTAAATGTTCGACTTCTGTGGCGTAAGCAGTGTCGATCAGTGGTACCGTTTTGTTGTACTTATCTGACTCGGTGACGTATCCCAGGTCAGCGAACTGTGTCTCCAGCTGCGCGAACCATAGCGCGGGTTTGTCCGCGTCGAACGGCCTTGCGATGAGCTTGGGCCTAATTGTAGCCCATGTTGCTGTCGTTACAGTGGGAGTTGTCTGGATGTCAACTGCTGTTGTTACCATGTTGATTTTATTTTATTTTACTTCAGAGAGAAATAAAATCGATGAATTTTACTTCCCAGCGCGATTAAACTTAAGGAATAAATTTGTGAGAAAAATAAAGGCTGTTGTAGTCTTTATTTGTCACCAACACAACACAACGTCTATGGGTATTCGGCAATGTGTCGGCGCGAGGTCACAAATATTTACTCGGATATCACTTTTATTCGGTTTGTTTTGGTTCCGCGAGAACAATGGCAAACCAAGGTCTTGACGCTCGGACAGTTGGAATGTTCCAGAAATCTCGAGACGCCGTCGCTTAAAAACCGAAGCGTGGTACACACAACGAAATTAATTATTTTCAGAAGCGCGCCACTTAACTAGAATGCACTCGCGGGAATCACTGTACTTGAAAAACTGAGTCGCGCGTGTTGTTCGGAAAAACAGATGAGAACGCGTGGACGAGAGAATGAATTTTTCAGTTGCACTGCACGTGCGCGAGACGGGAGGGTTTTCACTTTCGTCGTTTAAAACGTCGAATTTCCCTAATTAGATCACGTCGGGGTCACCAATGTAGGAATTGAGGTTGTTGAGGGATGTAACAATTCACTAACAAATATAATTAGTATTTAAATTACAGTTTAATCAAGACGTTTAGAATATATATACAAAAGAGAAAGAATAATCAAAGTGATCTGACCGGAGGTCAGTGTTAGACTCTACTGACTATCTTAAATCGCGTAAGACGGGAATTTGGATACGCATGACAATAGGTGCGAGCGACAGAGCGCGATGATGTTACCGATGTCCAGTCGTCTCTCAGCGTGTCGTATCCGTGCGTGTGTTACGCGTTGGTGTATGTGTAGCGAAACGCTACACCCCCCATCCCGCTCAAATTTTCAGTAAAAATTTGTTATCTCCCTTATTTTAGGAGATATTTTTGAAAAACTCACCAACTCAATCGTTTCATTGTGCATTCTCAACCTCTCCTGCCACCCCCAAATTTTCAGTCAAAATTCGCTATCTCCCTTAGTTTAGGAGATATTTCTGAAAAACTCACCGACTCAATCTTTTCATTGTGCATTCACAACCCCCCTCCCCCCCCCCCTCAAATTTTCAGTAAAAATTCCCTATCTCCCTTAGTTTAGGAGATATTTTCGAAAAACTCACCAACTCCAGCTTTTCATTGTGTATTCATAACCCCCTCCCGCCCAAATTTTCAATCAAAATGCGCTATCTCCCTTGGTCTCGGAGATATCTTTGAAAAACTCAACGACTCAATTTTTGGGTTGTTAATTCTCAATGCCCCCTCCCCTCCCGCCTTGCCGCCCCGCACAAATTTTCTATACACAATGTCCCCCTCTCCCCCCCATTTTTCCAGTAAATAATATATATGACCCCTGATATAAATCCACCCTTTTCATGCCCCGCACCTAGACCCCCTTATGTAAAACCCTCTACCCATTCATAAAACACCCATTCAATAAAATCCCCTCGACTATAAGACCCCCCCGGATATCACTACCCCCATGAATAATTCTCCCTTACATGAAGCCTCCTCTTTGTACAATCCCACCTGAAAAATTAAAAAAAATTTCTAGGTTTTAGAAAACGAGATCATGTCAAGCGCGCTGCGCGCGCAGTTTTTCGATATATTGAACTTACCGAATTTCTTGTTCGTTTCCAATTTCCATTGCACTTTGCAATGAATACTTAGAAAATGTGGTAGTCTTAACTTTCACTAAGTGCTCTTGAGTTTTGGAAAAAAAAAAAATGTAAATTACTGAAGCTTAATCCTCATAATTAGAACCTTGCCTTATAATGATGATTCCGTTTGATCATAAAATATGGGACACCACAGCGTTACATCACATATCCTCATATTTCTTATAAATTCGTGAATCAATAACAATAACATTTTCTTCTGACATTAATGTTTATTCATTAGCATATTCACATATATCACATTTTTTTAAATAATGATAATGTATAAAGTTGTCACACTGAAAACAAAACACCAAATTCCATTGCAATTAAGTCTACTTGAACTATCATCCCCAGCCGAATGTTACTTCGAAGCATTTTTTTTTTTTACCGAATAACTCATTTTTTATAAATAAAGCTCGCTATAAACGTAATTCTTTGCTTTAAATCCTTTTCTTTGTTTTCCGAGAAATACTTTCAATGAATTCCACGATCGAACCCTGGACAATGCGACATAGGGGAGGATGGGGCAAAACGGCCCCCCTTCAATCGTCAATATTTTCCGATTCAACAATCCGATTGGGATGAGTTAGAGCGCGTTTTGAAGAATGAAAAATTATCTTCAAAATGAAGTTGAAACTGGGAATTTTCACAATGTCATTCACAAGTTATTGACAATTGAAGGGGGGCCGTTTTGCCCCACCCTCCCCTACAATTGACCGGGATTGAAGACAGCTTTGCGCAAATCTAGTCCGATTTTATCAAAAGTTTGTCCCTGGGATTTATTGATAGTCATAGCAAATGCTAATCTCACTGGAAACTGTCGTCTTTTAAAGATGAAAGGGTAAACATTTTCACAATACAATGTGATGCGATGTATGAAAACAATACATTCTTGCTTGTCACCTGTTAGAATCTCACATTTAAGTATATTATTTCCGAGTTCTGAAACTTGAAGTCGAGTTCCATTACAGAGTCCCTCTTTTATACTTAAGTTCCTAATCAACATAATTATAGCGTTTTGTTGTAATCGCAATTCATATGGTGGAAAATTAGGTGGATTCAACGTATTTAAATATTCTGGAAAAAGCACAACGTCTATATCTCCATTATCGCAGTTGTCAATACTATCTATACCGCTATAGATTTTTGTTGTTGTTTTTTCCAATAATTCCACGACTTGATTATTAATTTCATCGACGTCTACATTTCGGGCAGATAAGATGACATATTTTGCTAATAATCCATATTCACATTTTCTAATAATACCAACGAATATTGTATTCACTATTTCTTCATCATATGAAGCCAGACATTGTTGACGGAGTATTACGTTATTGTCCTTATCATTAATGCTTCCATCTCCGATCGATAACACAAAATTTTTAAATTCAATCTCCTCAGGAAGAGTTCTCATGTTTTCTATCAAAGTGTGTACTTGAAAATATCGCCATAATTGAGAATTTTGAATAGATAAGCTTACTAATTCGCAGCGAGTGGCATGAGGCATTACTGGAAGTGATTGACGAAAGTCACCACCCAGGACAATTATTTTACCCCCAAATGGTATATTGTTATCCATTAAATCACGTAATGTACGATCAATGCGAGAGCATATTTTGGAGCCATTGGAGCTTCATCAGAAACTATGACATCAGTGGTTCGCAAACTACTCGCCTCTTTTGATTGTTTTTTAATATTCGAAACCGAATCATCATACAAAGGAACTGGCATTTGAAATACTTTATGAACCGTTCTACCATTTGGAAGTAATATTGCTGCAATTCCAGTGAATGCCATTGTACAAATATTTTTCCCTTTACTTTTTAGTAAATGGTATAAGGTCGTGTAAATAAAAGTTTTACCTGAACTTCCAGGTCCATCAACATAGAAACATTTCTCAGATGCATCGTCAGCATTATCATCAATAATTGAAAGGATTTTATCAATAATCTCTTTCTGTATTTGATTCAATTTTCCATATTGATTTTTCCCGATCAACTTATGTTGTTCATCTAACATATGCTCATTCTCGGCAAGTGTACAATTTTCGTCCCAATCAATCATCGGCATTAAGGGAAACTTACTGAGATCCGAACCTTCAGAATGCAGGAGATCATCGATTGGAATGTAAGCCTTTCGATAAGCATACATTGAATCATTATTCTTCAAAAAATCTTCGGACATGGCATTTTTAAATTTTTCCCACATTTCATCTGGATGATTAGGGTGGCAATACATCAAAATACGTACAAATAGGTATCTTGACTGTTGAGACATCACCCAGCCTTCTGCATCTTCCATAGCTTGAATCCATTCATTGTCATCTTCTATGAGTCCATGTGCTAAACATGTTTCTTGAAAAGTACAACAAATTGTTCCATTAACAGTTCGTAATTCTTCGAAACTTGTTGCACCTTTGACATGTATTAATAAAAGTCGTAAGTGGAATAATTCAGTTTGAGTTGGACTAACTGAATACATGCGTAGATTGTATTAAAGTGCGCTTTACGTATCTCCCAACATTGTTTGTCATGACCTCGATTCGTACATGTATAGTGTAAAGGAATCTCAGAATATATGAATTTACGTGCATTCGAATCGCGTAAGTTGAGAGCGAAATAGTCCATTAACATGCTTTGTTTTTCCAATGCTGTACGAATTGAATTAGGATCTGCATTCTGAACAATCAATACATTTTGGAAATTTGGTAAATGTACTGGCAATCTAACGATCGAATGGCATTTTTTTTTTTGTAGTGATTTCCCCAAAATTCGATCACATGCTTCGACGGGTCCTACATATCGAGTTTCCAAGTAATTCGTTATTTCATCATAAACAATAGTAGTTTCTTTAGATTCAGAATCCACTACACGTAATGCGGCCTTATCGTGGCCCTTGTGAATATATTTGTAAACATATTTGACAGATTTGATACTGGATACTATTTCAACATTAATGTAACAATTGAATTTTAATAGCAACTGAGGATTGTATGACACCACATACTGATTGGTAGTAGTTCTCCTATTAGGGCGTTTGTGAAAACCTGTATCCTTGCGTCGATACGACGGATAACCATTTTCATCCAATGTTGTATCATCTCTGAATTTTTTGGGGAATTTTTTAGAAGACGATTCTTTCTCATCACGACAACGCTGATCGCAGGGGCCATGAATCATTTGAGTCGTGACAATTTCATGTAATTTGGGTTCCTCATTTTTATCTGGAATCTCAGCGAAAATATACTCATCTACGATATCAGCAGTAGTTATTTTGTAGTTTTGTTTCAAAGTCACTAATAAATGCATGTGAGGTAA